CATCTGCCCCAATTTTGTTTTCTTTCTAATATAATTGAGTTTCTTCTCTCTCCCACTTCCTTTTCATTTTCTTCTTCCACCTATTTTGTTTCCATATACACATTGAAGGGCCTATATTTTTTTTTTCCTTCTTGGCTTAGTGACTTTAGCAACACATATAAAGGTTGTGTGTTCATTTTGTGAATTTTACCTGCATAGAGCAGCTGACTAATATCTCTGGGGAGGCAGAGGAAAGGCCAAGTGAGGGAAAGGGGAGGGAAGGAGAAAGAGAGAGGTGTGTTTGACTAGAGCTCAGTGATTATATCATGGTGCTAAATCCTTATTTCAATACAGTTTTCTGTAATTGGAGTCAAAAATTCACCTGCTCTCAGCATCTTTACCACCAAGCGTTTGTGGGTATTGTTTCTAGGATAACAATGTTCTTTACAATGCTGGGTCCACACGGGGCAGTTATGGGAGAATGTCCTCTGTGAAGGAGGCTTTCTGCACATATAAAGAGGAAGGCTTCAACCGGAGATCACTTCCAAAAATACGTGTCGTGGATCAGCATCCTGTTTATTTTCTTTCTGACTAGCTTGCCCCCCTTCCCACGATCCACAAAATACGGACAAAATTCCTTTTGATATGGTGTTCCCTGGGAAGTTGTTTCCGCTGATTTTCATGAATGCTTGGGGACGTGAACACTGAACATTTTTATTAAGTTCACAAGTTTACTTGTCGTTATTATTGATACAGATATTTAAAACGTTATTTTGAGAAGATCCAATTCAGCAACTGGTGCAGAAACGTATACAATAGATTGCATGGGCCGATTAGCCTTTAATGAAGCCCAGCTAAGCTGAGTAAGTTGTAATAACATTTCCCTGTAGCCACGTTCCGAAGGGTGGGGAGAAGGAGCGGCGATCAACACAGAACAGCACAAGAGATTCGGAGTCACAGTAAGTGCCTTAGGAATAGTTCTCCTGGGAAAAGTGCTCCTGGCCACTGCTAACGGCAACGTTCCTTTTGATCTCTTTTCAGTAGTAGTGAGATCAGGATCACGAGCTCTTGATTTTAAGTGCAGTGCTGCACACCTCACTTGCAATTTATCATTCTCAGTGTTTGCTATCATTTGTCTAACTTGGTCTCATCCAAATAATAATCCTGCTCATTCAGAGAATTCAAAGCAAATTATTCTCGTTTGGATAAATTTCTCTTATTTAATTAAAAGATCATGATTTTTTTATTTTGAATTTTCACTTGGGCTAAAGATTAAAAT